GAGGAGACAGGGGAAAGACTAGACTCGCCGTAGCAACTTCGGCACTTCCGGAGAAGGAAGTGCCAGTTAGTTAGTGTTGTCCGTAAAAATAATATTAATATTACATTCGTAGTACTATTTCTTAGTACTACGTCGTTACGCATGCTGTTTGGCCAGCCTATCAACTTAGTGCTTAATTCTCGTCGGTACGCATGCTGATTGGCCGGGATGGCATTCAAATGAAAAAAAAACATTAAAATTTTAATGGGTTTTTTGGAAGTGGATAAAGTCACACAATGGGATTTGGAAATAAAAAGTATTTTGCACTCGTAATAAAAAATCTCTAAATTTGCCAACTCGAAATTTCTGAAAAATGCGTGACAACCCCTCTCCCCCTTTTAACCCATCCCAGGCTGTTTCTTAGCCGTTCATTTTCGGAACTGGTCCCAGAAAACATCGTATTGGCGAGCGTCGCGTCGACTGGCTCAGGATCGGAGGCCGAGAACGAGCCCGCTGAGGAAATATCTCCTGAGGTGCATGTGCCTGCCTCTTGCTCTACATCTACGTGTGCACCCCTTATGGGGCAACGCTATTTCAAGACCTGGGATGATTTCTTTATGGCTTTGACCAAGACGAGACTCATCAACTTTTCCGGAGGCGAACCTCGACACGTGTCGACGCAAGAAATGCTGACCTGAAGAAGAACGGACGGCTGTCTAGTAAAACTGAGGTTCCGTCTTCGTTTGATAAGTACTATCGCCGTTTATGCTGAACTCACGGCTGGAGTCGCCCCAGTCGCTCTACTGGCAAACGAAAGAACTATTTTGTGAAGTCTACGGGTTGTGAGGCCCAGATATCTGCTACTGTGGTTTGGATGGAAGACAAAGGATTTCAAGTTAAGGTGACGCAGCAGAATGCGACGCACAACCATGGACTGGGGCCGACCATGTACGATAACCACCCGGCTAATCGACGTGTTGACGACGCCGAGATGATTGATTTTGTGGACGAGCATCAAGCCGCTGGAGCAAAGAAGAAGCTCATCATGGAGTTTTTGAGACGCAGATCGGGTAACATTCTTACTATCTGCTGCCTTTTAGTAAACTATTAACAAGCTTTATGAGCAGGTAAGAACGTCACTCTGCGCGACGTTCATAATATCGTACAAAAGCTAAAAGAACGTCGACGAGGATCCACCACAATTGAGGCGAGGCTGGAGGCCAACCTTCGCGATTTCTGTTCGCGTAAGGGGAACACCGCCACCATTTACGTGAATGACGACAAATTAGCTCAAACGATTACCTTTCAGACGCATCAGATGCGCAGGTTTTTCGAAGCGGTTCCGGAGGTGATGATGGTCGACGCCACACACAACACGAACGACGCTCGGTACAAACTTTTCAGTTTTATGATCCACGACAAAATCGATGGTATTAAGACGTGAGGAGCAGCTTCAGCAGAACGATGCCACCAGTTGTGGACCACTAGTTCTCCTCTTTTTTTAATGTGCTGTCCGTCGATTGAGCATGCCGACGTCGCTCTCAGCTATTCAAATTCGCTACTTCAGACTGCGTTGTCTGATGAAAGCGTTGCGTGTATAGGTCAACTCGTGTTTAATACCAAATAGCATTTTCATTCTTGAACAAATTCTTCTTGAGCACGTTTTAGTATGCGCTAGATTGTAGAACACTTGTGTTGATTAATCTCATGTATGGTGAAAATGCACGATGAACGACCACCTACAGCTCCATAATTTGCGAAGTCTTATGTACATTCGTGTAACACGGCGGAGAAATACTCACCACCTTCAGGAAACATTTGGGTATGCGCAAGCACACGGATGGGTGTTGTGGCTCTTGAAATTTTTTAAATTTTATCCGGTAATTTATTCTCATCTTGTGCCGCTTTGTGACTTTGTGCCCCTATTACTAGAAACAATTGTCGGAGTGCCTTCTCGGTGACTCCAATACGCACTTAAGTACGAAGGCACACAATCATTGTGTGACTGTAACACTGATCTTTTTTTTTTCGTCTGAATGCCATCCAACGGCAAGCGACATTTTCCACGAAAGCTCAATAGTAGTATTCTGGCTAGTGTGTGGCACACATGCGGGTTAAGTTCTCTTTAAATAGCGGCAGCGGGACTATTTTTACATCTTGGTTTCAGTATGCCTCTAATATATAATCCCTACTGCGGGTCCCGCGTCGATTTGTGTATCAGCCAATCAGCACGAACTTCGACTATATCAAATTAAAAGGGAAAACTACTTCCAGAGTTAATCATTTTGTGACGGGCTAATCATCCCGCGCCGATTTGTGACGATCCAAT